TATCTGTGATATCTGTGATATCTGTGATATCTACAACTTCAAATAGTAGCATCCTCTTTTAGCTAGACCCTATGATCGTCGCATCAACACACCATCACAACCCTTGGTCGCATTCCCTCAGGCCTCCAAGCTTCGAGCTGCAGCAGATCCAAGAGCTTCACTACCGTACCTTACACAGCCAAGAATGACGAACATCCAATTAAGTAAAATATTTCCTATCATAAAATATAAAACCTAGAGTAACCTCGACAAGTCAGTCCCTTATTCTGCATGGCCACTTGACCTTCAAGATAACCACCCATGGCCGAGATGCCGGGTACCTAAGCTAGGAACTCGATCCCATTCAATATGGATCGATGCATTATTCAAAAAATGCACTCAGCTAGATGATTCCCCAGTCTAGTAACCCGGTGACACATACACACACACCTCATGCTCGTCGCGGTCGAGGCTGTGTGCTGTAGCTATCAGACTGTCCAACGTGCTGGAACGTCGATCTGGAGTCCACGCAAAAATCCCGCCGCGTTCATAAAAGTCGTACTGGCGCTTACGACGGCATATATTGTATTCTATTCACCTGCCGGCTTTAGACGAGAGGCAGTGCTCATGCAGTCGGATTAGTCTCCCCGGCGTAACGCATACCGAAGGGGCATCTCTGTATTCACCTCTGTACTACTTGATGCTGAATGTTAGGGAAGACCGAGTCCCGGCTACTATGATATACAGTCAAACATTCTAGCGACATACTGGCGTGAAGTTTCTGTCTCCAACATTCTCCAAAAGCTGCATTGTCGGGAATTTGGCTATTACCGTGTGCAGCCGGAGCCAGGTTCAAATTTCACTGATCATAGGACCTCATGTTGCGTTGATATTCCAAGGGCCTCAATCTAACTACATCCTTTCGTCCTCTAGCTATATGTCGAGACACGTCTGTTTATTTGCCGATGTCATCAAGTATCAGGTATGTTTGGGACAGGCCACTTTCGGCTGCCGAACTTTGAAAGAAGGCTTTGCATAGTCGGCCGGAGCTATTACCCCTGATCATTATACCTCGTGGATTTACCAATTTTTTACCATTGCTACCAGGACTTGAGAATATTTCTATGGCGATTCTACTAAAAACTCAACGGTATCGCGTGGTATAGATTATATGAAGGACTGTGCCGGATCACTCTCTACCTTAACTACCTACCTATCTAGTACATCGCTAATGTTTAAGCAGATGGGCTGAAGGGGCTAGTTATTGGGCGCTGGGGCAATCAGGACGCCTATCCTTCGATCCCCGCTGGTTTATCGCCACCCGATTAAGACACGGAACGGTTTAATCTGAACTATGAAGGTATTCTTTAATCATCAGTGACTTATGCTGAGATATACGGTCGCAGCTCCGCCGGAGGGATAAGGCTGTTCAGAGTATTCCCCTTCTATCGTTCTCTCTTAGTCACGGATTATACACTCTTTTTTTTTTTTTTTTATCAGATTACGATCTTTCTTTCAGAAACGTAGTCTATCAAAAAATAAAGGCATCGACCAAAATTTCAATATGACCATCGCACCGCAATCCACCCTGGCACTGGGTCGCTTGGTACCTACTCCACGACTCACCACCCCTTCAAGTCGGATCTGCATCGAATTGTCATATAGTAAATAGCAAACGCTTTACATATGGAAATATTCAATTTTGACGCCCCTGGCAGATCATAAACCTCATTACGCTCCCACACTCTGTTAAAAGTATCTGCAACATACTTAAAGTTGGCTTTAGAGGAATGATACATCCTCGGAGCAGATAGATCAGAGACGCCTTCGACGCGTACAGCACCACATACCCAGATCGCAACTCACATCTTTTCATCATACCCCATTGCTCTCTATAGCGACCTAAGGAGTGTGTACAAAAGTCAGTACTGATCCATGACGAAGCAATGGCTACCATAATATGGCAAGATCTCGCCCATTGTAGAGTCCGAGGTCTCTATTTTGCGCTGCAGGTCTCTCAGTTCCTAGGTACGGAGTGACGCTTGCATTGGCATTTTTCTTGTCATAAATATAAACGACTTAGACTTAGTGAAGCTCACTTTCAGGCATATCACAATACTATGCTATCATCACGATTCAGCTTGTCATGGAATCTTAAGATACATAGGAAGGAGCAATGGGATGTGATAGAGGGCTGTGATAGAAGCCCGAGCTCCTATTGATAGACGACGTCTATAGGCATCCTGTATTGTAAAGCATAGACAGCACGTAGTCTACCGTAAGCTATTTCGTGTAGCTTATGTAGATAGTTTATCTCGTTAACCAAGACATATATGAGTAAGTAGGTTATTCATACAACTACCTACCTAGGCACTTATTATTTCACTTCGTAATGAGACAATCATAATATTAAGTTAATTGTTTTGAAGTGATAAGGTATCATAATACTTTCTCAGGCTTGCCTATAGCAATATATGCATCTATACCTGGTATAGTCCAAGAGCACGCTTAATGCCCGTCCCTCTATGGTTGATTGTCCAAGACAATATATGTGCCAACCCCAATATCCCTTGTTCACATACCTACCAGACCGATCTTATAAAAAGAGCAAGCTCATATCAATCGAGACGTTCTATTGTTACCCCTAACGTCATCTCCACCTACTTCATCCACTACATGTACCCAGCACCCTTTACGAATATTGCAGAAATATTCCTTCGAGTTTAGTTAGTTTGAATCTGAGATCTGCCAGGCCATCCCCTTAACTAGCGTATGTAAGACTGCACCCCCCCTTAGTAATCGGTAGAGTACCTACGTAAGATTCAACGTGGCTCATTAACATCAATAAAAGGAAAAGACCTTGCGATATACCCTTTATAATAAATATGATTGGCCGATTTAATAACGTAGAATCACAGTTCAGGGGATAAGTTGACGTTATGCAAGGGTTGGCTAGACCAAGGTACCTACCTACCTCTTATATTTTTATATCATATACAACTCATAGATATCTCAATATTCAAAGGTAGCTAGAATAACCGCTACAATTAACTTGGGAAATTACCTAGTGTATTCTGCAATCTCATGAACTATGCATGATTGGCTTTATTCCTGGGGTGGACTGGAAAATTTACAACTGTGCTCTACCCTTACAACACCATGTGAAACGTAATCGAAGTTCAGGGAAATGTTAACGAAGTACTCTTCAGACGATCTATCGTTTACATGAATTGGATTTTATATCTTAAAAGATTTAATTCGAAAAGCTATTCGTCCTTCTGGCGATAGGGACTGCAAACCACCTGCTCGTTTCCAACACCATGCATGGTACGTACAATTGTTGGCAAATGAATCTATGTTGCAAAGCACGTAGCGATCTAATATTAGGTTGGACAAAGAGCTGAGGTAATGGCCGGAGATGCAACAAGTAACGAGTGGTTGGTGATACCGTTCTAGAAACTTTAAAATGATTACGGCGTTTATACCTTCGAATGCCATCTAGCGATAATCAAAGCCTTGAAGCTATTAATTTCATATCTATGCGGCTATCATAATTCACTACTCATAGAGGAGGCTGAGAACACATTCGCAACAGGATTAGGACCAGGGAAGAGTAATTAGTTTATACGCCAATAAGCATCGATCTTAAGGGGGTCGTAAGATATCTTAAATTAGTCGAAAAACGCCTCGCCATCATACATACAAGTTTGATTCGTCCGCCGCTCCGTCCCTAAGGGTTTGGTTAGGGCGTCGACGGTATCCTAAGCGTTCCGAATTCGTTACGTTTGCAAGCCAAAGAAAGACCGGCCAAATCAAAGACAAACTCCTCTCTGTGCTAGCGATTCCGAAGATTTTTTCATGTTCGGTGTCGCCAATGTGCGTCTACTGCTGCTCGTAGCCTGCGAGATTCAACCCGTCATTCATGCCATCAAGTCGATTAGCACCCGATGTACCCAGTGATGTACAGTGGAATTAAATTAGACCTTGCCCTGACTTGCGAGGACTGTAGAATAAATTAGAACGGGAATATCCCTAAATGGCTGAGTCGCAACTTACCGGAAGGGACGACAATAACTAGAATTAGGATGATGATACCGGCAATCAGGCACATCCTCATCTTCATATCCTTCCACCACATCTGCTTGCGGACTCTGTTGGCACCGCGGCGGAAGCCCTGGGCAGAGACGGCTAGGTTGTCGGTCTTATCTTGCAGGGCATCGAGACGCTCGCCACGTTGGGAGACCTTGTTGATGTTCTCTCGCATAACACCGACGGTGTCGTCGATTTGCTATGAAACTAATTGTTAGCTTAAATTAGGCACTTTGACTGTTTATAAATCGCATTCTGCTCCTGGATTCTGAGATATTGCGGTTCATACTGCTCACGGTGTCGCGAAAATCGAGTGGATATGCTTGAAGCCTGACGCAATACCCTAGTCCGTGATGTAGCGTTGAGACGTAAATTGTGGGAAGGTATCTTTGGCCTCAAATCTTCTGTCATCAACTGTATGCGTATGCGCATCCCTTTTATATTTCCTCGCTACCCATCGCCAGAATAATGCGTTTTAAGTATTGGAATTAATTATTCTGCAGAGTTGTGATGGTTAAGATAGATGTTGTTGGGCATAAAAGGAGCTGGTCTCGTAACATTGTTTCGTCGCAATTGGTCCTCCATATTGGCTATCGATATCTCGTGATCCCGGAGCAGAGGCATCGAAAATTAAATCTAGTCGACGAAATAAACTTACAGCTTGTAACGCCTGCGTTCGATTGTTGCCGCCCTGCTGAGGTGCGGCCTGGCCGCTGGGGATGTAAGGATCATAGGGAGCTTCGTTCGACATTTTGGCGAGTGGTGATAAAACACGGTCGGGTTAGGTTTGTCAATAAGGAAGCGAATGTTGGTCGAAAGCGGCGCCGGAATAAATACGATACGGATAGTATTTTTGTCGCGGATGATGAGAGTTGGTATTGGTTTGATGATATGGGTGTGGCAAAGGAAGTTGGGAATGAGAGAAGCAAAGAGAGGTTGGAGGGAGGCCGGAAGTTAGAAATTGGGAAAGTTGCGAAGGCTAAAGTTGTATCCGAGACGCTTGGTTGTCTGGGAGCGCTGGAAGTTTTTGGTACACTGGTACTTCAATTAGTACCTCATACACTAAACTCGTACCTAAGGGGCGCGCTAGCATCACCCCATCAATCACCCCGGCAAAGGCGACAAATCACAGTCATGTGATAGCTTAGGTTAGTCGGTTTGCTAAACCGATGTCTGAGTACATGTAACCCGTATCCAGGTAACTGTTATTACAAGTCTCAGCAGTCCAATAACAATGTTGGAACAGCCTCTTATGACCTCAGTTTTTTTTCTCTTCGCCCGATTTTCGCTCGAGAAAAACGATCTCTTAATTGCCCGTAATAGCAGATATCAGATGGATTTTTAGAACCGCCCACGAAGCTTGTTCGTGGCTGAGCAAGAACGCGTATGGCCCGACGCCGCGCAGGCAGCCATTATTCAATGTTGCCAAAAGACCCTAGGGTACGTAAGGTACATGGGTACTTACAAGAATGCCAAGCCACTTGTGGCTAGTGAGCGTCGACTTCCATACCTTTACCTATGGCTGGTGACCCCTTTAAGCAGACTACATCCATAATAAAGGACCTCCTCGATGAATGAACAAATTCATCTTATAATTTAGACTGGCCTAGAATAGTAAGCCAGTATTAAGAACATAGGTATATACCTTATATATAATAGTAGCTAATACGAGACATACGTCCATCAAGAGAGGTACAAAGAAGCAAAGAGATGGGGTTTCCCACCTGGATTTGCATTGATTCCTCCTGGAAGTAAGTCAAATTAGTCAAATAGTTAATAAACTTCAGCCTATTTCTTGTCTCAAATACGAGTTTATGAAATATATAGAGGATTATAGAGGGGAGAAAGATCCCCCCAAAAATACGGTGCCAGGTGTGAATCCGGTGGGACTCGAACACTTGCACCCGTGAAAAACCCTCCGGGGTCTGCCTGGCCAGGGCGACACGCCTAGGAAGTTTTTACTTCAGTAACATGGAGCTTGAGCTACTACATGCTCCGGTGACAGTGCATGCTGTTATTTAATTATAAATACTTCATGTAGCATCACCTAGGTAACTTATAGCGTTAGGAGACCAAGTGTCAAAATGCACTGACACCCGGTATTAACTTAGGTACCTCATTACAGATCATGATTACCTGTTGCGAAATGCCCTCAATACCCTCGTGGCACTTCCCGCCAAACAGAACAAGCTTGAAGCACCTCATTACAATGTACCTAGGTATCTAATAGTCATATTTATCGGATCTTTTACCTACCTCCTTTCGATAACAATACATCTAATAATTAAACCTAGGTTCTCTTGAGAAAAATATAAACTGCCTATATATCATATTATCATTATATATCTAGTTCGTGGGAACTATCATTAGTCAAGCTACATACGAATCATATGGGGTTTTGAAGTATAGTTGTGTATAACCACCGGTTACCTACCTTATATATGGCTTAGTAGTTTTCTAGCATTAGGAACATTATCTTTAAACGCAGGATACTAGCATTTGCCATATTACTTCTGCACCTTTCTTTAGTCTTTGTTCATGTTGAAATATGCAGTTGAAACCATTCGGGAAGTACTTATATGCATTTAAATATTTACTATATACAATCTTGGACCATCGAATTCTACCCTTCAAGTTGAAACTTTCTCTCTGTCGGATCATAAGGTACATGCACAATCACATTACCTGCATCAGCAGTTTCCATGGCAAGAGAATACCGGAGCCTTTCCCTCCGCACTAACGCTGCAGTGTCAGAACACCGGGACGGTAAGGCAATAAACCATAGTCACCACCGGAATTCTTATCTCGGCCTTGATAAAGCAACTCTAGGTTACATGGGTCAATGTCATAGTCTGGTCGGGGTTGCTGCGAACCAGATCACCGTGACTAATGTCGTTGGTCCAAGTAGCACCACTGTTGGCCTTGCCAGCAAATGGGTTGCTCTCGGTTGCGGCCTGCGGTTTCCAGGAACCGTCCAAACTGTCGGCCGTAAATGATCTAAAGTATCGCCCGTTTGACCCGATCGCCTCGACGATCATGAGGTACTTTTTCTGACCCTGAATAGTGTAGACCTGGACGGCTTCAAAGAGATTATTGGTTGTGTCGCTTAGGACCACCGTTGACGATGTGCCGAAACTGCCGGGAAACTTGTCAATGGACATGCTAGCCCGATAGACCTTGCCATTATCTCCGGTAAAGAACAAGTAAATATTTGTGTCGTCACCGATGACTGTTTGATCAATACAGCCGGTACCAGAGCCCGAGATGGTTCCGGAGAAAAGTGTCTGCGTCGATGACCACCCATTTGCGTTGGTAGGATCGGTTGACGTTCGGTAGGAGAATGCCGTCGGTCCCCATTGGTAGGCAAGCACCCAGATGTCCTTCGGTTTGAAGTAGAATAATGTGGGTGCTACTGTGCCTGCACTCATCGTATTTTGGCTGGCCGTGGCCATGTCAGACCAGTTTGAAAAGAGGCTGAAGGTCATTGAGCCCCAGCCCGACCCCGTGTTATGAGTTGTCCCATACACAAGATGTTGGCCCTTGTAGACGACGTTAGTGAAGTCTTTAAGCGAGACCCAACCAGACTTCGGTGTTGCCAGTGCGCCTGTAGATGCCCAGCGATAAGTTGACGGAAGATCGCATGTCTGCGCTATGACGGCTGCTGTCGAGGCGAGCCATAGGATGCCGGTTGACACCAAGCCCATATTAGTATTCAGGAATCTCATCCTGATGATATCCTCTTATAGTTGAAAGCCAAAATGAGAAGCTCGACGGTTGGATCTAAAGGAGAATTAAGGAGGAGGATCGTCAAATTTGTATATCTGTTCACATAGCAGGTAGGTATTTTCAGTCACGTACTGGATCTAAGCAAAGACCGCGTCGCCCACCGGGCTGCCCAGGGTGCTGTATCTTCACAAAACTTCCCATCGTGGATTAATACAAAATACAAGTTAATTAACGGGAGCCTACGGTAATTGCTGTGATAGCTGCGCTTGTAGTCCCAATTAACCCGTATTGCGGGGACTGGTTATAACGGCTGTTCTAGAACCACCAAATGGCCCTTTACGTAGCATTAGCCTTTAAATTTCCGACGTCAGTAGCATATAGTATATATAGAGTTTTGCTAAGAAACTTGATGTAACGCTTGCTTATAGGTGAGCAAATCACGTAGCTGTAAGGGGTATAGCTAAATATAATTAATACAAAGTTAGGAGAGTTTGCCTTGTAAGTCAAGATGCTCTGTATCCTTACGACATCAGAATGAGTCTATACTATTCAAACCCACCTATAGCGAAGTCCAGGGGGATGAGGGTATAGGATATATCTGCGACGTAATATGGATTAGGTATCAGCAATATACGGTAGTGACCGAGATAGGCCAGAAATAAACCGGCTCTTGTCTGTAGATTGAAAAATCGAAGTCTTAGTTTATGCTACCTATAAGCAATTAAAGCCGCGTAGAGCATCTATAGTACTTCGATCTGTGTGCTTTGGGCACTTCTATATCCTATTCGAGAACTTAGAGTCTCGGACTTGTAGTCTAGTCGCTTCGAAACTCCATAGTAGAGATCCCATTTCACGAAAGAAATACTTACGCCTTCCGTTTATTTTCTTCACTAGAAACTGTGAACGTCTCGGTAACGTAAATACCGGCTTCCTCATCTGAATACCACTGTACAAAGTGCTCTTGGCTTGCTTCACTCGGAAGTTTTATTTTTTAATTGCTTGGCTTTTTAGACCAACCACGAGACATCTCGAGAGTCTTCCTACCACTGGAGCTCCCAGCAACATATCTAGCACGGTTCTAAATTTCGACCACGACAGAATGACTATTCCCTTTAGAGCCTTCCCAGAGCGTAGTCCTGACCCGTTTGACTCATAAGTTCTTGATCGTATTGTAGACACGTGAAGACCCCAGAGGCGCCGACTAAAGAGCGGTTTGATGGTCGGCGCAGAGACAACGAATGCGGTGACTACGTATTCACGAGTAGCCCACTGGTTAGCGATGAGAATGTTGAGTAGGGATCATAAGGAATAAACCGTTCGTAGGAGGGTGACAACAATGATAAATATTCTGGAACTAAAAAGGATAGCAAGGATAAGCTTCCTGTAAGTACCTAGGAATCTTGACCTGCCATAAAAGGGGTAGCGGGATAGCGGGATAGCGGGATAGCCATATAACCAAAATCAGAGATAATTCTCAGAATCGAGTAAAATATTATTCACTAAGGAGGAAACTATGTGGTAAAGGGGATAGAGCTTCACGTACTACTAGGATATGGCTTCACTTTCCAGGCCAATTCTATGGCGAAGGTCATTAACGTGCCCCAGCGAATTCACTTAGCTAGCTTATTCTGCCAGAGATTTATGGTCTACTGACTATAAGGTATAGGAAGAGCGACAGAGACAAGGATATCTTGCAAATGGTTGACCACTCGTCCACCCCGCAAGATACTACCACGGCCGAGACGAAGCAAATTAATAAGAGCTCTGATGGAGTAGGCTAGGGCTAAAAACTGATTAGAGCTTTAACCACGATTGGCAGTAAATTCCCCCTTCCCAAATCTTGTGTAGATACATGAGGTAGGTATGCATCTTGCATTGGTCCGCAATCCAATAACTAGTGGCAATAAGAGTGTTAGACGTTTTTTATTAGCTTTTCATATAGTCATGATAGGCAGGATATATAAGACTAAAAATGGTTATGATTTCGTGAACGTCTATGGAAATACCACAACCGCCCTTCCAGCTAGTGTTCCCGCCCTTAAGGCGTTGTAGGCCTTCCCCAGCTCGTCAAAGGAAAACTTCTCAATGAAAAAAAAATTTAGAAGGGGGAAGCACACCCGCTTGAAAATAATAATAACAATAATAAATACAGTGAAATACTAGCATTATAAACCATATCGTGCTGTACTGAATAATCCTTCCTTGCAAACAAATATCAATTTCTAACGTAGACGACACTAGGACCAGCTTCTCGAGGTAGGGGAGGGAATTCGTTAAGGATCCCAAGCACCTTTTTCAGAATTCCGACTAATGGATTAGGTGCCGCTTCCCCCGATAAGCCCTGGTAGAAATTAATGCAGTAAAAGTTGTAGCTTGTTGTAAACGGTCCGGTTCTCAAGCCGGGCCGTGAAGCGCCAGTAGTATCGGAACTGTCCCATTTGTATTTAGATAAACCCAGTATCTCCGCAGCTAAATGATCCAAGACCCTATGGCTGACATCCCAAGTGCCTTCATTAGTTAAGTAAATGAGGTTCTCGATATCAAAGACTTTTCTTAGAAACTCGTCACCAACTAAGGATGTGTGGAAATATACATTATTAAAACGAACAGGGTCGTAGTGGCCGGTTGGCTGTAGAGTGCGGGTTATGTCGTAGGTAAGCTCATCGTTGCGTATAAAGTTTGTAATTATGTCCAGGGGTTGTGCCTGATAATTAAAGACGACGCGTGAATGAAACATACATGGCGGGGATGGGTACGTACGAATCAAGATTGAGAATTGTATATGATGCTTCAGATTTTGAACGAGTTCTCGGTGATTCGCGCCATGCTTTAAAAGCTCGTTTACCAGTTCAACCCAAGTTGATACTGTATTGTCGACGAAAACAGTATCATCGAATGTATGGGCTATGATTTGCAGAAGACGCGCCCATGCCGTCTCCTGTTGCATACCAGGCGTGGATACAAAATCTTTGCTAGTCAAGTTTACGATTTCCACTTCTGCCCTACCATTAGGGTCAGCTCCCTGATCCAATAATGCGCGTATAAGCTGGGCTCGAGCTTCGAAATCTTTGTAGAAATTGACGTCTTTGCTTATTGGTGATAGTATATATGGACTAAGAAGTGGAGATAGCCCTTTCAATGTATAGTGCATGAGTGTTGTGCGTTGCTTCATGGATAGGTTTGAAATTCAGACAATAGTCGGGACGTGTCACGAGGTGGAACGAAACAGTATGGAAACAACTTCGTTGTTCCGCAAGGAACTCTAAACTACCTATGAAGATCTCTCGTCTATACATACTAAACAATTCCTTTACCTATTCTAGATGTCTCATCTAGAATCCTGACAATCTCTACACTTGCACGCAATATGAAAAATAGCATGATCACCTGCTGTAGTTGGTTGTGCCTGGGCCGATATTTCTTTTTGGAGTGCTTCTAGAGCCTCCTTCAAGCTGGCCACGATCTGGCCTTGTACCTGATCGATTTGCCCGTCTCCGTATACCTTTTTGCAAACACCCACGGCTTTCAGACTCCAATCAACTACCTGAATGACGTTAACTGCGAAAGAAAAAACTGCAATCGCCTCCATACTTTCATCGCTTGTATTAGTAAGATAGAGAAGGGGAGAGATAGTTGTTAGAAGTTTTACTATAGAGGTATATTCCCATAAGGGGTTTGTGGCAAATATTTTGCATATTACCTGATAACATCAAGAGAATATATAACGCTATAGTTCTCTTTCAAGAAAAGAATATAGATTCCAGGGACTTTACATACTCATGTACTTTTCGTAATATCCAAACAGCTCAGTTATGATTTCACTAGCATGCTAAATGTCACATGTTACCACGCCGACGACGCCGTTTAACCCCACGATCCAAGTGACTTCATTCCGACATCTAAGTATCTAACTACCTACCTAATATATCTGTTTTCCTATTGTAGTTACATTGGTGAAGCAAGTGCTACCTGTCGCCGAACTATACACGAAGATAGGTACTCTATCAAGAAAGCCAATATTGACCATATCGACTTCGCTCACCGACAGGATATTAAGGAATAAATGGGTTAGGGGTTCAATTCAGGGGTATATCTACTAAGATTGGGTATATAAGAGGCGCGCAGCGCCCTCGAAAGAGGGTAGAGGGCCAGGCGTTCATAGTTCAATTCGACTATCCTGATATTCACTCTACGTACGTACGACACCCATCAAGGGTTCTCTCCGACACAGGAAGTGCAATACACACCTCGTAAGCCCATGTTACGTACTTAGGTTGATACCTCCTATTTCCATTATTGCAGTCCCGTTGCCCATTCGTATCTTATTTGTTTTGAAGCCTTGTACCTAACCCGCTGGATTCGGATTCGTGTAGAGCAACCCTGACGGTCTCTGGTGCTTATATCCAACTAGGCCGTTGTGTATTTAACTTACTGCACTAATAGTAAACATGCCAATTGATAGTGTGGTAAAAGAGACTAGTTTACCCCTATTCCTATGTTCATCGTAGTAGTTAGTAGTATAGTGTTCAATGAGCATATACTACCTATATAACATTAACTCAAGTAAACGACGAAGACATTATGTGTGGGTTTATGGTCAGCGAAAGACTTAGGATCTACGATCGCGTGACCATGATCTATGACCCGTCAAGGTCCCCTATCGAGTACGGTATTCCTAGCCTGCTGTTTACCAAATGCGGCCATGAGTGGTTAGGTAGAACGATGACTCCCCGTCGGATATTGGTAGTCATATTAAGCCGACGTATTGAGATATTCAACATTAACTTGATCGCGGTCGATTAGTTCTTGGTCAAAAGAGGAACGTTGGGAAGAATATAGACCTCGTTGGATGAATTCTATTTTGATAAGCCGTGACTGTTTATCATAGGAGCCTTGTACTAGGCCAGAGATCATGAAACCTCCTACAAAGCTTCTCGGCTGGTCGGCGCTGTGGTCGTGCGGACCTACGTCGCCCAGGGCCATACCCACTAATGCCATAACCATATAAGAACTTGCGCAGCCTTGTTTAGGGACCTCCACCGACTCGCGTCGTCATCTGTCTCAATCCAAAACTCTTGTGCAATTTGAAGTCGGCATGACGTCGGAACGTGAAATGAGTTTGTCGCAAATCAGTCAGACTTCGTGCGGGGGAAGGGCCACAGACGAAAGCAAACGGATCAGGTGGGAGCACACCAAATAGGACAATCTCGTCCAACTAACGAGACGGTTGGACTTCGATCGGCATCGCCATGGCCTAGAGGAAATTTGAAGTTTGACATGGTGCCCTTAGGTTAGCGTTTAGGCGAGTTGATTTAGTGTCGTGAGGATTTTGCTGCGATGATATTCGGAGCCCCTATTCGAAGCTGCCGCCGAAACTGAGACAATGTGATATTTAACCCAACCGAGGTGTTCCGCAACACAGACTCAGTCGGCTGATAGAACTGACTGCACATCTTGTATTCCCACCGTCTCGTCGTGGTAAGTTGAAATGAACAGAGCTATGGCAGCGTTAATCGCCCAACGGTAATTATCCTGGCCTCAGGCATCAGAAGCCGAGATTGGTAGCCGCAGTATCAAGTTGACCCTACGATGTACAACCTGCACTCGCAAGCTAGGTCTCTTGACCAAGGTCAGTACTATAAGAATCAATAGACTAGAACGAAGGGACCCAATCCATAAGCCACACACTCTATATCAAACGTTGGTTGCCTCCTAGACTTAAGCTAGCATTTTTCGAACGTAGCTGACCGTCCAAAGCTTCTCGCTTGCTAGATAACAACTTATACTGACAATATGAGGGCGTTTCGGAACTTATGCCTTATCCTCTTCTCCATAACACACGTTTGGTCTAGAACCAGCAACGGCCATCAAGATGGGACGATTCACCCGAACACTCACCCGGCATGCATATCCTATGAGACGGCTTTGAATAAGCTCTACGATTGTAATTACTTTGAGAGCTACTGGGGATTATCCCACGACGATTTTATCAAATGGGTAATACCTTCCCCAGTCTTAAATTGACCTTGACTGATATGACCTCTAGAACCCTTCAGTCAAACACGATTGCAGTGGTATTAAAATTGGCCACTCATACTGTGTTAAGGTCAGACATGACCAATCGGTCTCTGCATCTATCTCCATCTCGACCACTGCAACAGTAACTCCTCCGCCTTCGACTGTAGAGAAGGGGCTCATGACAAACCAAACCACAATAGCGGTTTCGGCGCCTCCTAGCCCAACCCTCACGCAGGCGGGCATCATGAAGGATTGCAATATTTACTATCGGGCAGTAGCCGGCGATACCTGTTCCAAAATTATTTCCAAGTATAAGATATCGGACCCAGCCCAGTTCATGAAGTGGAATCCAGCCGTAGGGGTCAACTGCTCCGGGCTAAGCGCAGATTACTACTATTGTGTTGGTAAGTTCTCCCGAGATACCTAATATTTTACCTACCTTAGGTATAGCTCGGCCCTTTGATGCTCAGAAATCTCACACATGAGCGGTATAGGAATCAAAGACACGTCTAGCACATATACTAGGCCCCCATATATAACAACGGCGATTCCTCCAGGCTGTATAAGAGTACATCCTACGCCCACCCAACCTGGGTCCATATGCAAGTGCAAATCATGGCATCAGGTTAATTCGGAGGATACGTGCGCGAATATCGAGGCGCGGTATAAGATCACAGCGGAGCAGTTTAATAAATGGAACCCACTGGTCGGGCCTAAGTGTAAGTTACTATGGGAGGGATACAACGTATGCGTCGGTGTGTAGCGAGCCAAATCGTCGTACGGAGTAATTAGCAACGGAACTTGTTTTTTTTTTATGACTGCGATGCTTATATAATTCCACAATACATCCCTGATTGTTACTATTACAAGGTCCCGGTAATAATTATCTCTTCGGGTAACCTACTCCGCGAGGGAAAAAAAGGCGCAGCATTATGCGGAGCAGGACGACCAGGAATTCCGGATCCTCGGCAGCTCCGTCTAAGAAAAAACGGTCTTCCGGACCCACTACAAAACGGGAGATAGACGCGCTTGAAGCGCCGAAATACCCAAGACCGAATCCAAAGAGGAAGGTGATTAAAGCCACCGCCTGCGCGAATCAGCGGACATGTCTCTACTACATGTTCTAGACCTAGCTATGACCCCGGAGCCGAGTTTCTAAGCTGAGAATTATATATATATATATATACTATGTATGTAAGGGACATATGAGCGTCCTTCTTATTCACGTGCCTCGCATCACATCATATCAATATTTGCAATGCGCATATAACGGCACCTAGTGTACCTAAAGGACGGGAAACATAGGGGAGGAAGTTAAACAAGGTAGGTATGTCGCTTTTTACATCTCCTTTCACTCATCCCCCCTTGCCTCCAAGCTGCCTGCCTGCCTCCCCTACCTATCCTATCCTATCCATTAGTCATCTAACAATTTCCAATCCTCCATCTTATGTAACTCAATATATAGCAGATCGTGATCATGATATGACACTTCGAAGCGAACCCCAACGCACATCGAGATAAACACGGGCCGCAGCCAATGAACCACACACGAACCGTTACATCCACTCGCCCTACGCCACGCAGTATAAACTGATCTATCACAAGCTGAAATTTTCAAGTCCAAAAACGGTTCTTAATACGTACCCTATTATAAGGATATCAACACTTGCGCCAATCGGGCGCTCTGCCTGCTATTTATTTTATCCCGGTCCAGAACAGCTCGGTTCGAGACCGTTTTCGTGCAACCCTGCATACATGTGTAAGTTGGTAGGGAATCATGCTACATTGTAGAGTTACTAGGCCAGACGTATGTAACTCTGCACATACAGGGTATATCGGCAGCGTAGATACAATACGTATGTACATATATGGACCCCGTTGCCGCGGACTATTCCGCAATGGAACAACGCGGAACACGCGTTGTCCTTTTCAAATCTCGTCTATATTTACAAACTTTGTGTGGAGTTAGCTCCAGTAGAGCTATTGGATGAGCCCCTTGCATCAACATCTGGTCCATATTATACGGACCATGTTCTATGCCCATGTGCATACACATACATGTGTACGTACGAATAGCAATATAGCTGTATTAGCTCTGCTGCATCGTGTTGTGGGCATGCATCTAATGTACATGGGTAAGGAGTGGAACTCGTTTGCGCTGTTAGAGGTATGTAGTAGAGCATGCATGCATATAATGGTAATTCGACGTACCTTTCTCCCCCCACCATTTAATTATTCCCCGTTTAAAATTCCCTGGAACGTTTAATGCAAGGCGAAAGCCCGTCCGAAACATTTATCCCCACGGTCCCTATGTGAGGGTTCCAGGTGGCGCCGCCTCACCTGTCCAATAGATTCAGCCAGTTCAACACCATCTGAGCCTTCAGTAGGTTTCCTCGCATATCCATATGCACACCGTCGTATAAGGTTGCTTGAATGCTCATGTTCCACGTCCCGAGGTGGTCAATTCCCCTTTCGGCCGCCTGAACTGCCATCTCGTGCTCAAACTTCACGAGGGCCTTATTGCCCTGGCTGACGATCCACTCATCCGGCTTCTTGTCTCCAGCCGCGTTTGGCGTAACCAGGAGAACCGGCACATTTCCTTTAGAGTTTGGGCCCCGCTGTCGCGTGCTAGTTCTCGTCTTCGATTCGATCGTGTCCAATACCAGATCCAGCCATTTCAAGGCTTGGTCTATCTCCAGATTATTCCAGAGCCCATGGCCAAGAACGAAGGCCTTCCGCTGTAAGGGGTTGGGATCAATCGCCTTCTCTAACCGTCGATGTTCTTCCTCTGGGATGGGATATCGCACAATTTGCTCAACTACCGTCAAATATCAACATGATATGCTATTACCAAGCAAGGCCTATCATCAAAACGTACTCCGTAAATCTGTGTCCCACTCCGGCATCCATCTTGTGCACGTGAGACTTACAGGGTCGTGCTCTATGACATCCGCGGTGCTGAAAATAACCTGGACTGAGCAATCGCGGACGTCGAATTGCCCGTTACAGAAGCACTTGCGTCTGGACGTCTCACATTAGCGACGAGGCTATATAAACTTCGAAGAAGATACTTATGTTTCCGTCATACTTTTCTTCCTCGTCGAAGTTCCAATTGGTAACCCCGCCATATCCCATATCCTCTCGAATTAAGATATTCAGGGCCCCGATAATGTGTCTCAACATGGAGTCTCCCACGAGAATAACTTGAGAATACCGACCCAGAATATCGCACGCTTCCCACGAGCTAAACCACCGCATATCGCAACCCCGAGGTGTGTAGGGTGCATCCTTGCCGGCCCGACCGCCAGATGACATAGCTGTCAGCATCGAATTCTTGTCCGAGCAAACAGATCCGGCAGGTAAATGGATGTCCAAAGAGGAAATATTACATTCCCGTCCGTGATGCTTGTATTGGCGCAAAGTATTTATTGGTTCCCTCGCCCATAACTCCGATGTGGAGATTTGAGACTTTGTATGGAAGAGGTAGTAATATAATACAGCCATGATGAGGATCAGGAGGAACCTATATAACATTTTTCTAAACCTTCGTGGAAAAAGTACATGATCACTGTCATGAATTGTCCGAGGCGAAACGGTAGTCTTGAATCCTAAGATCCATGCCGTTAATCGATGGCGACGATGGTCTTGTCCTCTGAAGGTTTCCCTGGGAATGTGTACGCGGAGATCGTCCTGAGAACCGTCACTAGACATATCGGCGGTGCTTCTGCCTTGCTATCAGATCTGTATATATTACTTTTTAATGTTGATAGAAGTTTACCATGTTATGAATGACAAGAGGTTGGGATAGATTAGGAACCTCGGTAGCCGGAAAGCAAGGTCAGGGGCCCAGGAAGGTGCAACAGTATGAAGGCAGTAGCTACGAAGGTGGTAGCTTACTCGTACCTACCTAGGTTAGTAAGTCTATCAACTCTCTTGCCTATCCTGCCCAAAGATTCCGTATTATTTAAAGCAGTAGCCGCCTGATAGACCATGTACTCTTCTCCAGTCCATGTACCTACATATATGTTGGTAGCTGACAATTTTACAATTGTGATAGACTGTAGGTAGGTCTTCAACTATTACACCATTAGTACTCAGAAGGAAATTCATGGATTAGAGCTTATTGAGTATTTTCTTTAACTGTTTAACCTAGATGAATAGTCACCCTTATTGCTCATCGTCCGCATTGTCCTCCTCATCTGCATCATACCTCGTGTCCGTGACTACAGCTTCTGGCTCTTCCACACCCCCTACCTGTTCTACTTTGCCCTGTTCTTCAAGCGATACAGATGTCATCTTCTTATTGATGTCATCCATAATACTATCTTCAGGCAGACTTTTCTTGTTTCCCTGGCTTTTATATCCCTCGTCAAGGTGAGTAGGCTTCTTTGTAGCAAGTTCCTCGGGGCAGATGCGACGTGTAAATTCACCAGTATCTTCATCACGAGCTTCCAGGAGAGCAGCTATAGCCCTTGATTGATGGACAATAAACTGACCGGGTAAGATGGGTCTTCGAAATGAATGTTTTCGGATCCCTTCAGCTTTCACACATTTTGGGCGCCTTGGTTTTAGTCCGCGAGACATCTGCTGATAGGTCAGCATTGGCAGGTCAATATTCGGGTTGGCCGAAGGGTGAGTACCTAGACTTAAAGTACACTTACGATGTGGCAGTTGTAGAATCGTATGGTAGGACGCTTCGTGTGCTTTTTATTAAAGACTTTAATGTGTAATAAAAAAGCCGTGCAAAGGGGGCTCATACACAGCTTTTCGTTGGAATGCCTTAGGGAAGGTAGAACTTAAGTATCGACGGGTTTAGGGGGAAGATGCGGGAAACGACTGGAGCGACAAAAGCTTTCTTGTTGAAATACTACTTTAAGTCAAGAGTAAATTTCTGTTGTGCTCTTCACTACCCGGGTAATCATAATATTGTTGTCAGGTCGAGTGTTGAGGAAGTGTACATTTCTTAGGCCAAACCTCGTCGGTCTCGATTTTAATCATGGCCTAAGTTTTGCTATGGCCAACAAAGGCAGCCCTAATTAAACACAACGCCTCATATCGATACAACCTACACCGAACCCTATCAAGATATCTTTTGCTTATCACACCTAGGTTCCATGGCTATCCCAACTAATGGACCTGATATAAATCGCTGATCTAAGACCTGCGCACTTGAAATAACCTCTCCTCATCCCCTCTATTTAGTTATATTCATGCTAATTCATCCGAGTCACGTCACGTACCTATCATACTAGCAAAAAAAAAAGTTTAATCCAATTGAAGGCTAGAATGAAATATATACATCTTAGGCTTTTGTTTTACAGAATTAAAACGCCTTAAGCATTTGTCGTTTATTTCAATGGTCTTGTGTGTCCGCGTTTGACTTGGTTTATGCTCAATGCTGTCCTTCCGTCGAGGTGGATCGTAAGCCGACTAAACGTTTTTCTGGGTTTGATTAGCTCATAAGTCGATGATATAACTTATATCGATGACATATTTGGCAAATTATCGTATATCGACATTATTGTTAGAATTTCTAGTGGAATCCTTCAATATGAGTCGTTACCTAGTCACTAATAATATTTGAAGATATCGAAATATGAACAATCGGAGCCCTGATCGACATATGCGTTTGCTTGGCACCTTGGATTCTCTCGAATAGTAGACCTAACGGAGTGAATTCCATCCTTGGCAGGGTCCTACCGACTATCAGCAACGTTATTACCTAATGATCTTTGCGATCGTCATCCCCATCGTCGGAAAATAAACGCGTGGTTCAAGTGGGTACAAAAAAGCGGATAAGCGTTGAATTTCTT